ATTAAAATTGACCTTTGCTCGCTTTCTACTCTCTATATACAATTTTCACACTGCCGTACTCTAACGGAACTATCAATTCTTTCATCTCCTCATTTGTCGTATAAAATGACCATATGACATTTGACGATAAGCATCTCCAACTATGTAAATCGTTAACTTCACTCATGGAGTAATACAAATATGATAAGGTATCATTTTTGAAAGGATCCTGCTGGTGTTCAGGAATATTTATGTTGAGAAAAATGCTAAATTAGAATAGTGGTTGTGATCTTCCGGATTTATTGTGTGTGAATAGTTGAGGTACAAATCAGTTCACATCTGTGGAAAATCGTAAAGCAAGACAATTACCGATGGAAGTTGGCAAGATGTTCAATGAGAAATGGTTTAAAATCCTTTTTCTGATGTAAACAAACTGTTTGGTTAACGTTTCTTCTCGAGCTCGCATGGCTCCCTCTTCATGGCGGTGCATTGAAAAAGCTTATAACCAGCCACACAAACAACTAGACAAACAAGCAGATCCTACTCAAATTTGGGTTGTTTATAAATGGCGTACACTCCGCGCTGCTTTTGCCCACAACCTGAGCTCACGGTGGTCCTGCGCGGCCTTCCCGACATGGAAACAGTCACACTGTTGGATGAATTGAAGCAACATGGACTCAAGCCGATCCAAATCTTCAAGATGAATCGTCATGACGCTTTACGTATGTAAGTACCATGACCAGCTGTATCTAGGCCATCTGAAAAGGAATTCAACATGCTTGAGGACCTCCAGAGCATTCGGGCCCTTTTCCACATCGTGGTGATTTGGGAGCAGTACAAGCCAGTCCACCGTGATATCACCCAATGCGCGAACTGCATGCTGTTCGGGCATAGAACGAGAAACTGCCACAATTGTGGCCAGCAGTACACGCCTGATGCCTACGAGCTAATGGAGGACGCAGATCCCAAATGTGCCAATTGTGGTGCAGCACATCGGGCAACAAACATGACATGCTCGAAGCGAGTGGAATTCACTGCTATCCGCAATAAAGCCTCTACGAAGAATCAACCTGGCCGCAGAAGAGTACCACGGGCAGAACTTTCCTGCCATCCTGCAACGGCACCAAATTCCGGTGCTTCCGCCAGTTCCACTCAACAACCGTTTTGCTGGTGCTGCATCGGTTCCGCCAACAGCTGGGGTGCATAACACTCCGGTAAACTCAAGTCAACAGTCATATGTGGCAACCGCTGCATCTCGAAGCACCTCTCCACATCCGAGGATATCGTGGCAGCATGAAGGTGCTCCCTCTTCACAAACGATTGAGAACGAAACGAGTTACAACGGCGGAATTTGTTACACTCGTGACAGAAGTCATCATGATCCAGCGCACCTGCAGGAACAGAACAGCTTCATGCTGCAGTATCCCTCATCAATAAGCATGGACCGTGAAGCCATCAAAATTGCCAATTGGAACGCTTGTTCGCTCAGTTCCGGGGAGGAGGAGTGGCCATCACTCTAAAGAGGAACAACAACGGTCGGCTGGTGCCGAGCTTCCAGCTGAAGATTATCGAAACCGTAGAGGTGGAAGTTTCTACTGCTGTCGGCCCCATCACCATCGTTGCGGCATACTACAAATACTGGGCCAAACATCAACATCAGAGATGGGACGGTCCTGTGTTCAAGCTACCATCGATATCTTCATCAGCAACATGGGCAAAAACATCTCTCAACCTATCACCTACCAGGAACTTAGCTCGTACCACTCCGGTGGTGGCCGATGTTGGTTCCTCGGTGAACCGATTCGAAGCTTCACGGCGCAACTACCATCGTGTCAACTGCGATCAATATCAACACTGCGTCGACACAACCATTGACTACGATGTCCAACCGGAGACGTCCGATGACGTTTACCGGTGTCTTCAATCCATCGAGGAGGCAATATCGCGGGCCAGGGAACAACACGTGCCTGTATACAGACAGGTGAGTAATACTGTGAACCTTGACAGCCCTATCAAAGACCTTAAAAGACTCCGTAGCACCAACGCTCTGGTCTGCCTATCCAGAAGACCAATTGCAATCGCCTTACTAAAGATTTCCAAGCCAGGATGCTGGATCTCAGAAATAACGATTTTGCTAGTAAGATCCGCTCTCCCCGGATTGTGCTAAGGCATTCTGGAAACTTACCGAAACAAGCTTACGCCCATTCCACTACTGATCCCGCTGAATCGTTCCGACGATGATCCTGTAGAGAAGGCTGCAGTTATAGGACAACACTTCGTCAGCTTCCACAATCTCGGACATAACAGCATAAGTCCACACGAGGCTGCGCTTGCTGAAAACGCAGCCCAGCTCCATCAGATTCCAGATCTTTCCTGAGGAATACAAACTGTGACAAACTGTTGGCCTATATCAAATCATCTTAAAATATTAAGGCTCCCGGTTTCGACCGACATCCTCAACCTGGAACTCAAACATTGGAGTTCCAGATTTTTCAACCATCTGGCACTAATGTTCAATCAGTGCCTCCGACTTGGCTACTTCCCCTCGTGCTGGAAGTCAGCTAAAGTCATACCCATCCGGAAACTTGGGAAGGATCCTTCCTCTCCTTCATGTTACCGACTAATCAGCCTTCTTTCAGGGTTATCCAAGTTGTTCAGAGCAGTTTACAGCCAGCTTCTAACATCCACCGGAGAAACCAACATCTAACAAACATTCTCAGACAGAAAAAGGCTGTTTCTAAAACATCTGCTTTGGCATTGTTAGACGTTGAAAAAGTGTTTGACAATGTCTGGCATGATGACCCGGTGTACAAGTTGCATCGATACGGTCTTCCGATCTTCCTCGTGAAGATCATTCAAAATTACCTCTCAGACAGGACATTCCAAGTCTCTCTCAATGGCATCACATGGGATGCCTTCAACATCGGTGCAGGTGTGCCCCAAGGAAGTATCCTTGGGCTCATCCTGTTCAATCTATTCACCTGATGGTGGATCATTGTCTCTGTACGCAGACGACATATTCATCGTCTACAAGGGTAGAGTTTTCGGAGCTCTGACTACTAAACTCCAAAGAGGCTTGGATGTCCTGTCTGAGTATTTCAACAGCTGAAAGATCCGTCTCAACGTGGCGAAACACCGGGACATAATTTTTTCACACTCAAAATCCCCTAGACTTGTTCCGTCTACGTAGGCTTGTTCCGTAGTCTACCTCGGACTGACTCTTGAAAGTTGGCTGCTGATCTCTAAACCTTCAACAATCTTTGCCAATTTTTGCACAGGGTCATATTTTGGATCTATGAATTGAACTGGCGGTGCTCTTTTAGAAATTCATCTCTTTTTTTCAAAATGAAGCACCCCATTCTGCATTGATCGATTCATTTAGACTCTCTATTTTGATAACCACTGCGATGCAAACAAATTTTGCGCTATTTTTGCCACATAGTTTGATAAAAGAGGTTATTATCTATAGCATCCAAAACGTTAAATACAACAGGGAACGCTTTTGCACCTGAGTTATTAACACAGAAAATCGATCATTACAGATAGGGATAGGACCTATTGAAATGTTTATCTAGAAATCTAAATTAATTTAAGATTAAGTTATACGTCCATGGTAGTCATTTGAAGTACCCAGGACCACACTGGACATGTTTTATGAATCCCGGAAGGAACTCAAACCGACACAAATAAAAACCAAACCTAGGGCCTATTTTTTCTCAAGATAATATCCAAAACGAGATGGGTTTTTCCACATGCCCGGTGGATCAATATGGGTTATACGGAAATAAATGGGTTTAAAGATTTGGAAAACCCACCAGCCACAACATGTTGCCATAACACATAAAACAGGGACTCTAAACATTTTAAAATAAACACTGTATCCCGGGTTTTAAAGGTCCTAAATATCATTCCTCGACGCTAATTCGCAAATACTGCTGAGCTACTTCCATCCAGATACTAACGTTTTCTATGCAAAGATAAAATCTTCTCAATACAAACGTAAACCCTATAATCCAGAAGCCAATCGCGCACACCCTGCCACATAGGCGGGCATGTTGTAAATCTCATTACACGCGAGCGACCATGCTACTGGTAACGGCTACCGACTGACTCACTCTATGCCAACCTAAACCGTGTGCGTCGATCGCGACGACGACGACAATCATCATGCATGCATGGACAACAACGCGCAACGTGCTGCTATTTAAGTAGTAGGCGACGCTGAGTGCCTTTGCCGTTGGCGTCGCGATCGTGAGAACCACGTAGGTAACGTCCCCAAGTATTGGTGCATTCCTCGCGCGATACAGACCCTCGATCGATTCGAAAGTGTAGGTATTATGGAAATAAATATGGAAATCGAATTCGACATCAGTTCAGCGATTTACAAACTTGATCGAACTGAGAATAATTATAAGTAGAAGAGGTTCGAGAGTCGCTCTCTTTCGTGAGCGGGTAAATCTCAGTGTTCTGTTCGAATGTGAGTCACTCACGGGCCACGGATCCAGAAGTATAGTGATTGTTCGGTTCGGAGAGATAGGCATTCGATTCTGCTGGAGTTTGGAAGTTTGGAGTCGATTCAGTTCTCTCCCTGCTCAGCGTAGCATCGGGCGCGATTCGTGGTGGATTTAAAGCTATCAAAAGTTGTCGTTTTTTTTTAAAGACCCCTCTTTTTGGCGACTGACGCGCGCGGCGGGGGTGTTGGCGGATCTCGTTTTATTGTTATTGTTGAAGCTGCTGCCGCTGGTTGCGGATCTTTTATTTTCCAAGCGAATGCTCTCGCGTGGGGGTTGACGGTCGTCGGAGAACAGAAGAGCAAACATCAAATTCCATTGATTCTCGTAAGGGGCCAGCGCAAGAATCCGTGTGTGTGGGATGCACTACACTGTCAAAAGTTGCACTCCCCGAAAAGTGTCTCGATACAGTGTGTTCCGATCTTCGATGCCGTCCTCCAGTGGTTGGTAAAATTAGAAACTGCGTTGAGTGCGAGCTGCACAAGTGAGTTGTAAAAGTTTTTGCAGATTCAGGGAAAGAGTGACGGAAACTAGCGAGGTGTGTTGGGCCGCGAGAGGGAGAGGGAGATAGAGTGTAAATCGTGAATATTGTCGCGTTTCGACTGGTTGCTGCGCTTTTTGAATAATAAATGAGGAGACCCATACTCGCGTCGCGATGGTACCTCCGCGCATAGCCTACTGCTGCTGACTGGCGCAATTTCCTGTTTTTTACGGACCCTGTCGGCGCGCAACTTTCTATCGATCGCACACGTCCAGAGGTAACTATTTTTATGATAGGCTAGCAATACTTTCTTATGAGGTGTGATTTCATATGTGCGGCATAATAAACATAGTAATTGCCCGAACGGCGGGGGGCTTCAATTTGCCGAAAATTGCCAATAAATGCCTGTCCGATTAGCATTTAGCGAGGCTCGACTGGAAAGAAATGTTGGCTCAATTTGTCTATCCGCATCACAGTCCGGAACGAATCCAAAATGAAGTATGGAGAGCGGTAAAAACAATACGGCAATAGAATTGCTCGGTCGGTGTATCGAAAAACAACCAATTTGCAATTAGATAGCAGTTTTTACGACAGTTTCGAGCCGCTCTACAACAATGAGATCGTAGGATGGCGACGACGACGACGACGATGGTGGAAGAGCCAGAAGTTGTAAGAATACCGCCGAAACCAGCGGAAAAATAGTGCTGTTTGAGAGGATTTTGAAATGCAAAAGTGGGCGGTCAGCGAAAGCAAAAATCAATGTTTCTGGTCGAGGCGCAGCCGGTTCTCTGTTTGTTTGGATTTTTCGATACCGAAGAAGAGGAGAATGCCCGCTGAGGTCGTTCTCTATATGAAAAAGAAAAATAAAAGACGAGAAGGCGTGCAAGGAGGGTGTTCGAATGGGACTTTTCTTGGCTGTGTGGGAGAAAGCCAATAAATATACAAGGGAACGAGAGATAAAACCAGCTGTAAATATACGTATACCTACATGAAGGCGCACACAGACATCGGAATGGCGATTGTCGCCTGGGTTCTTTTAATGTGTATTTTCGATGTAAAAGATCGCTGAGCACTGTTCTCGGTGTAGGTGTAATTGATGTTTGTTTTTTTTCAGTCGCAAATAAGTGGTTCTTGATGAATTAAATGTACCATCAAAGAACGAGAATGATGGCTTGCTTGATGGCCGCTTTGAGATGAGCGTTGAACTTTGATCTGTTCTTGAAATTCATTTCAAATTAGCTTCTCTACACCCAACCGAGGGATGTAAGATTCGCTTACAATTAAGTGGGATTCATCATCAGAGGATGTTAGTGGAGACCGCATGAACCGAGGATGCGATATACCTAGCTGCGGTCCAATGCAAGAAAGTTGGAGACCGAAAATGTGGAGTGTATTAGTGAGTGAAATGAATTATGTCGAAAAAAATTGGAAAAGGTTGCCGGGACTGGACTCAAACCACGAACGTTGCGATTATCAGACATGTGCTTTCTCCACAGCTCTCTCCATGCTTCTGAATATGGATAGCCTAAAAGCAAATACGAAGCGCTCATTTCCTCTCATACTCGGTTTCGTATGCTTTTTCTGCTGGAGAGATTCGAGGCGAGTGTGTGCATCGTTCTACAATGTTATACATAAAAAGCTTACTGGTATAGTCGAAAGCGTAGATAGAACACAAAATAAAAAAGACAAAAAACCATTACATCACCTGTAAGGTCAACTTCTAACATTCGCTGCGATGTTCAAGAACAGAGGATGATAGGAAGTGGAACTAACATTCATTGTAATAAATTTTTGGTTTGCGTGTATGATCATGACCATTACGCTCCGGTTGGAACTGTTTTTTTTTTTACGAATGCCATCAACTTAGTCTTGTTTGAGTACTTCTACATATGCTAATTGAGAACTTTCCGAGTTCTACGCTCAGCTCAGATACTTTTCATTAAAATTCTTTTTCAAAGTGGGTTTTTTACGAATGTTGGTGTGTCGCAATACCAAAAAATTGTGACCGGATCGGGTTGATGTTTTCATCTAGATGGTTCTAAGAAGCTAGTCAACATTTCACAAGTAACAACTGGCTCTAAATGCCAAACAAAATTTAAGTTCATTCAGTACGGTATGTCCAAACGGTACACTACACACCTGATGAGTGAATTCTTAACTTAACTGTTCACCATTTAATAGGTCTGATCCTTCTGACAATGTTGACAGCAATAAGAAGATTGCTAAATAGAAATTTAATCGAGCAGTGAAGTTTAGCGAGCAATTAGAAGTGAAATGGCACACTTCCGTTGTCTGGTGAGGGAATTCTCTACTAATTTATTTATTTATTTATTTATTTATTTGGAGGGAAAAGCCCACACTAGTGAGCGTAAAACCTCATCATTTCAGTAGCAATTCTACAAATACATTTGCTTGAACTAAGTCCTAAACATATAAAAAGACATTAATGATAACATAATTAACTTAATTTAAATACAGAAAACAGAAACCGTTAGGAAGTTAAAAGTACATTATAAAACAGATTCTTAAGCCTAACACGGGAGATATTAAAATCAAAGCAGTTATAACATTTGTTGACAATCTTGCACATGCTAGTTAACGGCTCATTAGTGTCGTAGTTTGTGCGAGAAGCTTACTTAGTGTTCAAAAGTAAGTCAATCAAGTTGAAAAAATAATAACGTTAATTTACGCGTCTGCTATTGACATTCAACTGCTGCAGAAGTGACCGCAATTAATGTCCGATCGTAGGAGATCAGCGATGAAGGTAGCCTTAGAGACGCCTCGGCGAACACTAAGTAATTGTAGGGACATCAAATTACAGCGGCTTTCATAACTAGGGAGATTGAAAGGATTACTCCAAGGTAGCCAACGAAGGGCGAAACGTACAAATCTTTCTTCGCTGAATGGCCTCAATACGATTCACCCCGTTGCTGTAAAAAGGAGCCCATACTACGGAACAGTACTCTAAAATGTGGACCGGACTAGCGAACAATACAGTGTTTTTAAACAGAAAATGTCCCTAAAGTCTTTGGCGAAACGAAAAATTAAACCAAGTTGAGAAGATGCCTTAGCGGAAACAGCGGTCTTTGAAGGTGAGTTGTGAATTATCGCAGTCATCTAAGTCATTAATGGTAGATTCACGGCTTAATATTTGCTCGTGCAGGCTGTAAGAATAACAGATAGGTGATTTTTTCCTAGAAAACGTTATAATGGCACATTTAGAAGCATTTAATACCATCCTGTTCTTGTCACACCAAACAGTAAAAACAGAAGAAACAATGCATCACTTCGATATTTGATGACAAAGTATAGTTTGAAATCGTCAACATAAGACAGCTTCAGGCAACGGATCGAAAAGTGAACGTCATTCAGATACAATAAAAATATGAACGGTCCCAGATGACTGCCTTGAGGTACACCAGAAGAAACGGTTGAGAAAACACTGACATATGTCGACCGGTGCGGTATGAGCGAAGCCAATCAAGAAGGGAACCGTGAAAACCAAGTCGCTCTAGTTTGGTCACGATATCTCGTGATTGATTTTATCAAAAGCAGCAGAAAGATCGGTGTAGATAGCATCCACTTGATGACCTCTTTCCATCTCGCGTCGACCTCTTCGGGATAAATCCGTGTTGTTCAGTCGCGATGTAACTAGAGCATGTGTGTTTTAAATAATCAAGCACCAATAGTTCAAACAGTTTTGAGACTGCACATAAAGCAGCGATACCACGATATAACTGTTCACCAATTCATAGGTCTTGTCCACTTGTACAAGTTCTGTACCAAGTTAAGCAAGAAATTAGGCACCTGGTGATGCATCTCTGAACTAAACTGATCTATCATTCAAGGAAGGTGAGGGATTACTTCAAGCGCAATCCGAACCTTTCGATTCGGGACGTGGCCAAGAAAGTCAATTCTTCCGTCTGGTTCTCGTCCAGCAGACAATGAAGCGGGCCGGACTTCATATCTTCAAGGTAATAAAGGTGCCTAACCGAACCGATAAATAGAATACTGTGACCAAATCCCGCGCCAGGAAGCGGTACCGCGAGTGGCTGGTGCAGCTGAAATGTATCGTAATGAACGACGAGACGTACTTTAAAGCGGACGCCAAGCAGATCCCCGGCCTGGAGTTTTTCGTCGGCAAGTCCCGCCTGGATGTTCCGGAAGAAGAAGGTTTACAAGTTTGCCAAGAAGTACTTAGTGTGGTAGGCGATCTGTGGGTGCGGTAAATTCAGCAATATATAAAGAAGAATGCCTCCAGAAGCGCTTCCTGTCCTTCCTCCGGTCCCACAAAGGTGACACTCTGTTTGGCCGGATCTGGTATCGTGCCATTACGCGAAACCGGTACCGGAGTGGTACTAATCCAACGATGTTGTTTTTGTGCCGAAGGAGGAAAATCCGCCAAACTCGCCCAATGGAAAAATTCTGGGCGAATATGAAGGGCAAGCTACGGAAAACAGGGAAGGTCTTCATAAACGACAAGGATTTAAATAAAGTGTTGATGAAAGTGTGTAAGAAAGATGGCGCAAGTATTGCACAGGATTTGATGGGTAACGTTAAGTCCAAGGTGTTTAACTAAAAATAAAGTTAAATATGGTATTATTGGAATGGAAATGATATGCCAGAAAGTGATGTTTGATGCCATTTTGAAATCCAAGATAACAGCTTCCAGAAACTCTTAGGGTTGATGCATATATTATGTCACGCTCTAAGGGGAGAGGGGGGAAGGTCTAAGATATTGAGACAAGCAATGCATTAGGTATAGGAAAAACGTAACGATAGGGGGGATTTTTCCTCAATTTAGCGTGACATAATTAATGCATGGGCCCTTCCTTACCTTACCAATCAGACTAAGGCCTTGATGTCTTCTGCTGTCCGAAGAAGTCGTCTCTACTTAATCCATGGCCACACGTCCGATCCACCTTGCCCGCTGCGCGCCTCTTCTTCTTGTTCCTGTTGGGTCGCTTTGGAGAACTATTTTCAGTGGGTCGTCGTGCGGCAATCGTACGACGTGCCCAGCCCACCGTAGTTGCCTGATTTTTGCAATGTGGACGATGGATAATTCTTCCAGCAGCTGGTGCAATTCGTGATTCATTCGTGTTTTCCACGTTCCGTCATCCATGTGCATTAGACTGGCCCACATTTATATGGGGGAATTAATCATTTTTTCAACCCCTAGAAAAGTTCACATTTTCCACAGGCATACATCGAGGCTCGTGGATTTTGGTGCGATAACCACTATCTACATGTTTCAGCTCTTTTTTGCTTTAATGTTCA